TCTTTTTCCACAGCATCATATATACAGAATCACACAGTATGGAGCCTTTTGAGCCTGGCTTCTTTCACTTGCCATTTGCAGTTCACACATGTTGTTGTATGTAAGAGCAGTTGCATTTTGTTGCTAAGTAGTAGTAGTGCAGGGTATGAACAGATACACCTGTCTGCTCACTTACCAGGGAAGGGACCATTGGGGTGTTTCCAGATTGGGGCCATTATAAATAAAGTTTCACATCAGTCATGTAGAGGTTTCCAGATGGGTATGTTTTCAAGTTCTCTGGGATAAACACCCAGCAGTAGCCTTGCTAGGTCATAGGTTAACTGTATGCTTAACTTTGTAAGAAACTTACAAGCTATTTTGCCACGTGGCTCACCATGTTGCATTCCCCCAGCAATTTAGGAAAGTTCTGGCTGCTCCTCTACACCCTGGCTGGCACTTGTCAATTTTTTGGTTTTGTTTTAGTCATCCTACTAGGCGTATCATGGTATTATGTCGTGGTTTTCACTTGCTCATCCCTAATTACTAACTGTGGCTTCCCAGATGGCACAGAGATAAAGAATCCCCCTGCCAATGCAGGAGATGCAAGAGACACAGGTTCATTTCCTGGACTGGGAAGATCCCCTTGAATAGGAAATGGCAACCCACACCAGTATTCTTGCCTGGAAAATTCCATGGACAGAGGCGCCTGGTGGGCTACAATCCATGGGGGTCACAAAGAGTTGGACATGACTGAGAGACTGATCACCCACAAAGTTATTAAATACTAACATGGTGAACATCCTACATCTTTGGTGAAGTGTTGAAATTTTGTTGTTGTTGTTGATTTCCCCCCTCATTATTGAGTTTTGAGAGTTTTTTAAAAATACGTTCCAGATTCAAGTATTTTATCACATATGTGATTTGCAAATATTTTTCTCTCAGCTTGTGATTTTTCAGTCTCTTAATAGTCAGTGACTCTCAAAGGCTAAATTTCTTAAATTTGGGTTCAGGATATAAATCAGATAGCATCTCTTCCCTGCCTGGTTCCCCATCACAGTGGGGATCGAATGCAAACACCTTTGCTGTCCTACGAATCTTGCTGAGACCTGGCCTCCACTCCCAGCCCCTTTCACCATCCCCCACCCCACTGTGCTTCAGCTCCACATCACCTTCTGTCATCCCAGCAACACCCCTGACTCACACTGGCCACAGGGCCTTTCCACTCATGGCTCTCTTCCACACACCCTCTCTCCCTCTCATCTTCCAGGCCTCAGCTCAAATGCCACTTCCTCAGAGAGAAGCCCCTTCCTTACCACACTCACCAAGCTGTAACCAATCGCACCCCCCATTATGCTCGAGCCAATACCTGACTTTATTTTCTCCATGTCACTGACCACCATTGGAAAGTGTCTGTCAGTGCCCTCCAGAACGGAGGCCTTATGGGTGTTTCTCTGTCTCACTCACCACTGTCCTGCTGGTTTCTAGATCTAGTGTCTGTTCATAACACACACTCCACCTCTCCACCTCTCCCTGCTCTGAACAAATAAAGAGAAACGTGAGTTCCCTCTCAAGCATCTAATCAATGAATATGCCCTGGTTCATCCAAAGCCCTTTAAACTAATCTCAGTCTTTGGGCAGAGCCAGGTGAACTCAGAACCAAATAGGACTTGCGCCTCCCTCTTTCTGGCAACTGTGCTCCTATTAATGCAACCCAAGAGAACACTCCCTTTGGAGGCAGACATTTCATTCTGACAGAGACCAAGCCAACCAGAGCCCAAACCCACCTCTATTACCTCTAAATCCACAGCAGGAATTATGCTCCGATAGTGAGAAAAACTCTAGATTTCACATCTTCCCAAGACTTCTCAGCCCAGAGTCACTAGTGCCTAAAAACATCAGCTGCCCTGGGTCTCTCCACAGAACCGACATGACATAGAGCCTGGGGAGCCAGTCAAGGCCTCAGCAAGGACCAGGGCCCGTCTTCTGTTGTACCCCCAAACCACCACATGTCACTCCAGGGAAATAATCCACGTGTCTGCCAGCTCCAGCTTCAGTGTAATGATGACGAAATTTTCAATGCCTGAAAAATCCTCCTCTCAAAAACCCAGAAAATTGCTCTTTGAGTTACTTAACGAAAGCCATTATTTGCATACATTTGGCGTTACTACAACACTTCCACATTTAAATGGTCTGTAATTAAAATCATTAATTGCAGAAAATAGTGACTCGTTAAGGCTATAATTTAGTGAGGTTGTCGGCATTTGAGGATCTGCCTTAAAGACCAGCTGGGTGACCCAGGGAACCCCCAGCCCACACAAACCATTCTGGCATCTGGGACGTCTGCAGCCCCAGGTAGGTGCTGCTGAAGTGAGACAAGACTTGAAACCACAGCTGCCTACATCTTCACACCGCAAAGCTGGTCTCTGGCACAGGGATGCTGATGAAGCTCGTAAAAGGCAGGACCAGGGAAGTTTCTCTGGGGAAAACCTCTAAGCCAACATGTAAAGCAGTCATCCCTCTTTTGGTGTTCAGGACAGTGTGGGGGAACCAGAGGGCTGAGTGAGCCCGAAGTTTAAGTAAATCATAATTTATATGAGCTGGTGCATTTAAGAGAGGCCTGCTGTGTTGGGCTATGGGGCTTCCCAAGTGGCGCTAGTGGTAAAGAACCTGCCTGCCAATACAGGAGACGCGGGTTCAATCCCTGGGTAGGGAAGATCACCTGGAGAAGGGCATGGCAACCCATTCCAGTACTCTTGCCTGGAGAATCCCATGGACAGAGGAGCCTGGAGGGCTACAGTCCAGGGTTGCAAAGAGTCAGACACGACTGAAGCAACTTAGCATGCACGCATGTGTTAGGCTATAAAAGGGCTCACTTGTCTGGGGACCTGGGCCCCGTTTTGGTAGCTGGCCAGGCAGGTAAGGCAAGTGGAGGTAGGGTGCTGGGCGCTCAGCCCATGCACAAGCAAGGCTTCCCAGACATTCACCAATCAGGGCTGGTATCAGCCCCCTTGGTCAAATGAGAAGGGGGGCAGTTACCTGTCCCTTCACAGGCTCGGCACAGAAGTACACAGTTTGTGGATCACTACGGAGACAGTGGTGGGGTCCTGGGTGGGGTCGCTACCTTGCTGGTGGTCATTTGGAAGTAGAATGCCCTCTCTGGGCCTCCGTAATTCTCCCCCACACTGAGATGGGATAAAGGTTATGTGAGTAATACAGGACTTAGAGGAACTCAGAAGGGCTGCCCAAAGGAGGAAAAGAAATAGGCTTTCCAGCAAACCACCTGGCGCCGGTCAAGGTCAGAGGTCAGGCCTGTCAGCTCTGCCTGCCCAGCCCGGGTGCAGGGCCAGCCCATGGGAGTGGGACCCTCACTATCGGATGGCGAATCCCTCTTGGGCCCTCTGTAGGCCTATCTCCACTTGCTCTGGGTGATGGCTGTCAGGAGCCACATAGGCCTATCCGGGCTGGCTGAGTGCACGGGCTGCAGCATGATGAAGCAGGCTACCTTGCAACAGGCATGGCTGCACCCCTTCAACCCTAGAAAAGCTCCAGCGACAGGATGACTCTGCTGTGACTGCAGCCCTGTCCTCCCCTGGGGCGGGGGGTGGGGGGGTATAGATGCTGAGTGCAGGACCACCAACTGCATGGGTGTGCAGGCCACGTGTATAGCGTGGGCAGATAATGTGGGCCTTGGTATACCCTGGTCCTTGGGGGTGTGAGGAAGCCAGCTCTCCTCTTACAGACAACTGTCATCTCCTCCTCTCCCTGCCTCAGTGACCACGCAAACATGATAGGAGATGGACCCGCCATGGGCCCAGGTCACTGACTACTGTGAGCAGAGTCCCTCCCAGGCCATCTGCCTGGATATGTAACATGAGCAGCAAATAAATCTTTGTTACTTGAAGACAGAGCTAAGGGATGTTTGTTACTGCAGCAGAACCTAACCTGCCTCCCAACTGAAAACCATGTTATTCCCAGTATGTGGGACGTGTAGTATTTCCGTGGATGCCTGTGTGTTACTTTTGGGGTGTGGTGTGATGCTGTGTATTTGTGATGTTACTCAATGAAAATGATGTTTCTGTGTGTAGGTATAGAAACTGCATGTGTGGAAATGTGCTTTGTGTGTGTGATGCTATTATACAGTATATATATGATTTTTCTCTCTGGGTGTGAGTCTGTGGTATTTCTGGGATGGTGTATGACCTCCCTAGCATTATGAGAGTTTCTTGCAAAAACCAGTGGGTGAGAAGATGGTTCCACCTGGACACAGATCTTGGTCCTTAAAAACCAGCAACGGGTGGGAAGGAGTCCCAGAGGACACTGAGGGAAGTGGCTGTGGGTGTCCAGGAAGGACCACCAGAGCATCTTCCCTTCCCAAGGGCGCCCTCTCAGCTACTGCAGACCCTGGATGGATGGGAGGCGGGCGCTGAAGAAGCTGAGGGCTGTGTGCCACACTTGAGGGCCACATCAGCCTCGGAGACCCATGGCAAATATCCCTTTCTCTGAGTTGGGGCTCAACCCAGCATCCACTGCTCTCACTTTTCTGGCTTTCCTGGGCACACTGCAGGTTCCAAGACACCAGATCCAGCTTCCAGATGCCCACGACCCCAGGATTCAGCCATGCAAGCTACACGGGCCACCAGCCACAGATCCAAAGTTCAGAGGAACATCATCATGAAACACCGGTGGGGGAAATGAAATCCCTGAGAGGGCAAAGGATTTGCCACAGAAACACACAAATGTTAAAAGCCTCTGACTCGAGTTCCAGGCTCAGCTGCTTCGGTCCAGCTCTGCTCAGAATGCTGGCCCAGCAAGGCCAGGAGGCCACTTCCCCACCAGCCAGCCAGGAGGGCGAGCACTGGCTCCAGACCCACAAGCATAAGTCCAGAGGGCCTGTTGCTTTTTTGGTTAGGGTGGGGCTGAGTACAAGACCCCACCATCATGGATTCACCCCAAGACCCTGAGTGCCAGTGGGGGCCCCGAAGAGCCCCAGGGGGGTGTGTGCAGCGGGCCAGGGCACTCACCTGCAGCTCGGTCTGGAAGAAGAACTTCTGTGGGCACTGTGAGCAGTCATAGATCTTGTCTTCCTGCCCATGAACAGCAAAGATGTGCTGCTGCAACTTGTTGGCCTGGACGAAGACTGGACATGGACGTGGACATGGCCGTCAGAGGACACGAGGGACACCAGCCCGGCCACCCACCGCAGCTGTCCCACACCACTCCCGAGTGGGGAATCACCCAGCCATGGACACAGCGGGCAAACAGTGGGCTATCTGGAGCATCACGGGCACCCACTGGAGAGGGTTCAAGCCAGTGAAGCTGAGCTCTGCCACGCGCAGGCTGTGCAATATTGGACAAGTCACTTAACCTCTCTGGGCTTCCTTTCTTCATCCGAAAAACGAGGACCATGAAAGTAGGCAACTCACGGGGGTAGCTGGGAGGATCAAATGGTTTAATACTTGCAAAACACTTAGAAGATGGCCTGGCACTTAATTAGCCCAATGAATGTCATCGTTGTCATCATCACCGTTTGCTGGTTACCTTCTGCGTGTGGAGTCCCCGACTACAGCACAGGCCTGTAAGGCAGGCACTGTGTGTTATCCCCATTTGATGGAAAACTGTGGCACTGGGAGTGTTGAGTGTCTTGTCCAGGGTCTCTTTCTGCAGGTGGCAGAGCCGAGGTCTGTATTAAATGAGCTCAGCACACTGTCTGGCACAATGGACAACGGCACAGTGGAAGGTGCTCAGTGGACCTGGATCACTATTCTTGCTGAGGTTGTCTGCATCCTCACATCCATCCCTATGCAGCGGACCCCGTGTCCTGGGTGGGCAGACCTGGCAGCTGGGGCCCCTTGTTGCCAGCCCCGACTCAGCTCATAGAGTGTGATGGTAACAGATGGGTGGGGGCTCCTGAGACTGAGGGATTGGGGTGGGGGGGGAGAGACCAGTGCATGCCAAGACTCCTGGGAACCCCAGAGGGGTGAGAGTGTGTGGGGTCCTCCCAATAGCGGAGCCCCTTCCCGCAGTTCATGGCCCCCACCTCCCACAGCAGGAGTCCACGAGGCGGTCCCGGCCCTGGGCACCCACAGGAGGTGGCCCTGAAGCAACTGTGTGTCTGGGAGGTGAGCTCTTCAGAGATCCCCTCCTGCCAGGCGCCCTCCCCAGGGTGGGCTTCCCGCCGTGGCAGACGACAGATGTCAGGGGGGAGGCAGGGGAAGGCCAGGCTCCCCCACACACACCGGCTGCCATCTGGGCGGCAGGAGGGGGGCCCGGCAGAGCCCCTGAGACTCGCCTCGGGCCGGGGCAGCCGCTCGCCCGGGCTGGCAGCCAGTCCGGGGGCTGGGGAGTTTGGCTGGCAGAACCGCCCGTGACCCCTCCAGCCTGGAGCATGGATGCAGCAGGGGCTGGGACAGGCCAGGGCGCTGGGGGGTGGGGTGGGCAGGAGGGAGGCGAAGGGAGAGCCCCACTGCTGCTGGACAGAGCTCGCAGCTCAGAAACGAGCCTGGAGTCCCACTGCAGAAGGGCAAGGCTGGGGAAAGGCCTGGCAGCAACAGGGTGGGAGGAGGGCTAGGAGATCCCGCTGCTGAAGCGCAGAGGCTGAGAGCATAGACAGGAGGGCCAGGTCAGCTGGGCGCAGAGGAGGCACGTGCTCCATGGGGTGGCGGATCCCTCCGGGCGTCCCCCATGAACTCCGGAGTCACACTGCGCCAGGAACTGACGCCAGGGCTTGAAGGACTGGGCTCCTGGGTCCCGTGGCTCTCCCCACCGGCTCCCCGCCAGGCACACCTACCTGTGAAGCACACAGGGCATTTGAAGGTGCCTCCCATGCCCTCGAAGCTGTGCTCGATGAGGTGACAGAGGAGCTTGGCCGGGGAGTCGAACATCTGGTTGCACAGCTTACACTCATGGTTGATGCCTTCCTCTGCAAGAAGAACCACGGCCAGTCAGTGATCCTGTGGGCCACATCCTCCTGCTGGAGGCCATGCCCTGCCCCGGACACCCCAGGCCAGCCCTCCATGACCCCCTGGAACCAGAGCCCAGGGAGGGGCTCCATAGATGCTGAGACCCATCCCAGCTCCAGGTGCTCCAGCCTCCGGAGGCTGCCAGACCCGAATAGCTGGCTCTTGGATGTGTCATTTGCTGTGACTTCTTGCTGGTCTAGCCATGCGGTGCGCAAGCCATGAACAGCCGCTTGCGTCCCAGACTGTATCATAGAGGAGAGGGGCCCGGGATGGGGTCAGCTTGGAGGAGGGAGTTCAGCTAGAATTTTTCAAAATCCAACAGACCATTTATTGAGCATGTACTGTGTGCCATGTACTTTGAGCTGGGGATTCTGTGGGGGAGCTAAGTGGATAATGCACTTGTCCCCATTCCAGTGATGAGGAGACAGATAATAAAGACAGTCAACATGTCTCAGTGCCAAGAGGTGGGGAGGGAATGCATGGAGCTCCAGAGGTGAGAGTCAGAGCCAGGCCCTGAGGTGGGTCCATGTGGGGCCATCTGGATGGTAGCAAGGGGGCGGGGACAGCTTGGGACAGTGGGAACCCAGGGATGCACTTCAGGAAGGGCCTTAGTGGACACTGGAGGGCTTAGGGATTCTACTCTAAAAGGTCTGGGCAGCCACCAGAAGATACTGAAAAACACAAGAAAGTGCTCTTCTAAACACTTTGAACAGATGGTCTAGCCAGTGCTCGCAGACAATGGGCAGACACCCCATGCTGCTTCCAGATCAGAACATGGCTCCATCCCTTCACCTGGGAGCTGCTATGACCCCAAACCTTCACTCAAAGGCGGCCAGAGAAGGGAGCATGCCCCGAGGCCAGCAGAGCCGAGATCTGGTGCTCCTGCCTGGAACCAGCAGGACAGAGTTCAAATCCTGGCTGCTTCCTCTAGCCACGTAATCTGGGCATCAGTTCACTCTCAGTAGATGGTGGCCACCCGAGTCCCCGCCTCACAGGGCTGAGCAAGGATGAACCAGGCTGCACCTGTGAGCAGCGTGGCCTGCTGGTCAGGGGAGGAATCGCCCCAGGTTGAGTGTCACCTCATCCAGGGCTAGAGTCTGACTCTGCCACTTACTGCATGACCTTGGGCAAGTTACGTAACCTCTCTGGGCCTCAGTTTCCTCTTTGCTAAAATAATAGCAGTTCTCCTTAATACTGCACACCTATGAAAACGGCCAAAATCCAGAACACCGACAACAGCAAATGTTGGTGAGGAGGTGGAGCAACAGGAACGCCCATTCATTGCTGGTGAGAATGCAAAATAGTATAGCTTCTTTGCAAGACTGCTTGGCAGCTTCTTATAAAACTAAACATACCCTTACCATATGATCTAGCAATCTCACTCCTTACTATTTACCAAAAATAGCTGAAAACTTAAGTTCACACAAAAACTGGTATATGGATCACTACAGCAGCTTTATTTAATGTTGCCAAGGAACCAAGATGTCCTTCAGTAGATGAGTGGATTCGTAAACTGAGATACTTCCAGACAATGGAATATTGTGTGTGTGTGTGTGTGTGTGTGTGTGTTAGCTGCTCAGTTGTGTCTGACTTTTTGCCAGCCCTTGGATTGTAGCCTGCCAGGCTCCTCTGTTCATGAAATTCTTCAGGCAATAATACTGGAATGGGTTGCCATGCCCTTCTCCAGGGGATCTTCCCAACCCAGGGATCGAACCCAGGTCTCCCACATTGCAGGCAGATTCTTTACTGTCTAGGCTTCCCTCACAGCTCAGTTGGTAAAGAATCCTCCTGCAATGCAGGAGACCCCGATTCAATCCCTAGGTCAGGAAGATCCGCTGGAGAAGGGATAGGCTACCCACTCCAGTATTCTTGGGCTTCCCCTGTAGCTCAACTGGTAAAGAATTTGCCCACAATGCGGGAGACCTGGGTTCGATCCCTGGGTTGGGAAGATCCTCTAGAGAAGGGAAAGGCTACCCACTGCAGTATTCTGGCCTGGAGAACTCCGTGCACTGTATAGTCCATGGGGTCTCAAAGAATTGGACATGACTTAGCGACTTTCACCTTCACTTTCTTACTGTCTTAGCCACCAGGGAAGCCCACAGTGAAATGTTATTCAGGCTAAAAAGAAGACAGTGAGGAACCTTAAGTGCATATTACTAAGTGAAAGAAGCCAATCTGAAAAATGCTACATACTGTAGGATTCCAACTATTCTGGAAAAACTATGTAGACAATAGAAAGATCAGTGTTTACTGGGGGTGAGTGATGAACAGGCAGAGGACTGAGGACTTCTAGGCCAGCGAAAACTTTCTGTGTGACCTTATGCTAATAGCTTTATACACGCGTCCAAACCCATAAAATGTATACCAAGAGTGAGCCCCAAGGAAAATTATGGATTTCAGCTGACTATATTGCTTCACTTTAGGTTCACCTTTGCAAAAAAAAAAAAAAGTACCATCCTGTGAGTGATGTTGATAATGGGGAAGGATATACATGTGGGGGGCAGTGGGATAGAAGGAATCTGTCTGTATGTTTCAACTTCATTGTAAACCTAAAACTGCTTTTTAGTAGGGGGAGGTGGGTTCAATCCCTGTCTGGGGAATTAAGATTCCATATGCTGGGGTGCAACTGACCCCACACGCCAAGACTACCAAGCCCACGTGTCACACCATGGTCCACAACAAAAGATCCCATGTGAGGCAATGAAGATCCCGAGTGCCACAACTAAGACACAACACAGCCAAATAAATAAGTATTTTAAAAACTGCTTTTAAAAAACCTTTGGAAAAATTTCTTTAAAAAAAGTCAATCCCTGCCCCCACCAAAATAGCCTTCCTCTAACAGTCGATGCGAGAATTAAATGAGTTAATACTCCTTTAACACATGGAAAGGGGTTTTGACCGGTCTCTGGCACACAGCAAGCACTCAATAAGGTGTTTGTTGCCAAGCGTGCGGGTAAGGAGGAGAGTGTTATCTGGGACAGCCAAGGACACAGGCTCCCCCTCGGGCTCCCCCTGGGAACCAGCCTCACCAAAGGTGCCAGGTGCTGTGATCTGCCCTCAAAGGCAAGAATTAGGTAGCAGAGGGGCTCTGCCAGTGGCGAGGCACAATCACAGATGGGCTGAGGCTCCTGGCGAGTCCCTGGGTCCCTCAGGCCCTGGCAGGGGCTGGCGGGGACAGCAGGCATCCCTCCGGCCCAGCCGCCCCCCACCCCCCTGAGGCACCCCGCGGCAGAGGCGAACACACACACGTACGTGTGCAGGTGGGCCTGCCCCACATAGCCCACTGGCTGCAATCTACCGGGTGTTTGTCGTGCCCCTGGAGCCCCGGCAACTAGGCCACACTCACCCAACAGAGATTCAAGCTGATCTTCCATTTATACCGGCGGAAAAGGAATTCATTGACAAGTTTTGGGACACAGGGCAGGCTCAGCACACTCGCCGCACAGGCCCCACGCACGTCCGCCACTTCCCTTGGGGAACTTCTCATCATAATTAGAGATGGCCTCCAGTGTGGGGGACTGCCTCAGAAGACCCCCCAATGCACCCCCGCCCCGCAAAAACAATGCTTCTCAGAGCCTGGCGCAGAGTAGGGAATGAGTGAGTGAACAAATGAATCAATGAGAGATACCACCCTATACACTCTCCCTTTTAGGATGTGGACATCTGCACGTTAATGAGGCAGAGATTATGTGAAAATGATGACTGTGCAGAGGTGGTTTTTTTTTTTTTTGCAGTTAACTGAAGTTTAAGTTTATAATCAACTGAATCTCAGAAATCACCCTGCTTGCTGGGAAAATTTCTAGGCAAGAAAAAAATGGGTTCAGAGAATGAGACCATTTGCTGAGGTAACAAAGCAAGCTAGGGGTGGTACTCTGAATAGGATACAAAGCCCTCCCTATTCGTGCATATCCCACCTGCCCACCACCTCCAGGCAGCCTCCTGGACTATGCCAGCTCACACAGCTGCCCTTGACTGGGCACAGGCAGGGTCCATCTGACACATCTGAAGAGTCTTCCTGACCCTAGCAACGAGGCTACGGGCACAGATAATGTCTTCTCCTCTGGTCCCCAAAGCATCAGGCTACACGTAGGCCTGAAGGAGGGGCTCAGAAAATACTCAGGGACAAGAGATGCCCTGGCCAGGTTCTCTCCCCTTGCCCGGCCAGAGTGGGTTCCCTGGGCTGAGACAGCAAAGGAGGATTTACAGTTCTCTGCCGAGTGGGGGCCTTTATCCACTTGGCTGTGAATGGAGACCTGCCCATCTGATACTCAAATAGCGAGAGGACAAAGAAGGCTCCCGCAACTTATAAATCAGAGAAATCATGTCTGACAGTCACTTTCCGTTCTCTGAGCGCCGAGCAATTCATCAGCCGGTCCCCCCCGATTCCCAGATACAGCTACAGCCTGCACCCAAGTTCAGAAATATGTGCACAGTCAGGCAGTCCTGGAGCTGCAAGCCGGTTCCGGGGCCTGAACAGCCACCATCTGAGCAAATCGCAGCCCCAAACCGGTGCCCATGTGAGGTTCCAGGATGATGAGATAAAGAGCCAGTAGACGAGTTGGGGGGGTTGTTCCCTTTCCTCGCTCCCCATCTAACGTGCTAAAGTGTCCGACCTGGGAGACAGGAGAAGGCAGATAAAACAAGCAAAAAGTAAAAAGTGGGTGAGAAATAATAAAGCCTGAATGAAGGCTTCCCGTAGACCTAGGGATCTCTCCCACCTTCTGATCTGTAAATCTTCCTGAAGGAGAAGGCCCTCTCCCCACCGGCAGGGGCTGGTGGTGTTCCCAGGGGTGTCCATTACGTGTACCTCTGCCTGTAAAACCATCCAAGAGAACAGGGGGGAAGGGGGCTGGGGGCTGCCCTAGTTACTGTGCAAACACTCCTTTGCATGCCTGTGACCCAATACCATCCAGTCCACGGCGACGGAAAGAATTCACTGCCACATCCCTCTCACCCCCAC